TCTTTGCAAACCAATGCCGTAAATCTTTGCTGATATTTCAAAGTAATAATTCTGTTAGATAAAAAGTCTAAGTTTGTAAAAAAATATAGGAATTTGAACATTTGAGTGTGTGGCAAAGGCCAAGTTTCTTCACAAAGGAAGCAAGATTTGACATTTGTCTTTAATTGAATTATTTTATTATACAAGAAACCTTGTATTTGAGGTCCGAATATTATAATCTTTGCCAAGGACATTCTTCTAAAAAGAAATCCATCTTTTTTAATGCTAAATAATTGAAAGAATACAAAGAAACCTTATTTTCTCTTCTAGTATTTTAATCCTTACAAGGTTATCTTTTGATAATAGAATCCACAGATTAATAACAATACAGATAGAACACTAGATGTCGTTTTTTCAAGATTTAGGGGCTTTTCGTTCATAATAACCCTCTCTCTGTCTTGTAATTCAACGCAACATGCGCGTAACTCCTTTGGGCTTCTGCCTAAGGGTTATTTTGACCGAAAACCCCCTAAATCTTAAAAGGACGACATATAGTGTTCTGTCTGTATTGCTATTAAACTATGGGAAATAATTTATCAATTTACACAGAATCACAAATTCCAGAATTTTCTTCAAATGATACGATTGATTGAACACATTTTGTCAGTCATATTTCTCTGCAGTCTTATTTCTAGCTAGTGTATCTAAATTCTATACTAGCCTGGGAACCCAGCGCTGCCATGGTTACTACAAGTTACTCCCGCCGTTTACCCGCACTAAAACAATTTTACCGAGAAACTAAATGTTCGCTATTCTATTAACTATTTTAACTTAACTTAGAATCTCAAAACCAAGCTAAAAACATTCCCGTGGGTCTCCGGAGTTCTACAATAAAAAATGTGATGCAAATCAGTCCAGGGGTTCCTGAGTTATGATCGGACAAAAAAAAAATTGCCTCTATTTAGTTAAATTTTCCATATTGCCTTTTGTCTAACAATAGATCATCGACTAGTTCTAATAGAGCCTGTGTTATTCAATACTTGAGTTATAATACAACCTTGTGTTTCAATACTTGAGTTCCAATAGAAACTTGTGTTTCCATACTTGTGTTGTAAAATTACCTGTGTTTTAATATTTGAGTTCTATTAGAACCTTGTGTTTTAATACTTGAGTTCTAATAAAACCTTGTGTTTCAAAACTTGAGTTCTATGAGAACCATGTGTTTCAATACTTGAGTTCTAATAGCACCTGTGTTTTAATATTTGAGTTCTAATAAAACCTTGTGTTTCAATACTTTAGTCTAAAGAGACCTCTTTTATCGTGGGTCACACTTTATTACAGGGAAAACATACATTTCAGCGAAGCCCTGTACTTTAAGGACACCATACTACGTATAGACACCCTGTACTTAAAGGACACCAAACTATGTAGACACCCTGTACTTTAGGACACCATACTATGTAGACACCCTGTACTTTAATGACACCATACTATGTAGACACCCTGTACTTTAGGGCACCATGTTATGTAGACACCCCGTACTTTAGGACACTATATTATGTAGACACCCGGTACTTTAGGACACCATACTATGTAGACACCCTGTACTTTAAGGACACCATACTATGTAGACACCCTGTACTTTAGGACATCATATTATGTAAACACCCGGAACTTTAAGGACACCATATTATGAAGACACCCTGTACTTTAAGGACACCATGTTATGTTGACACCCTGTACTTTAAGGACACCATATTATGTAGACACCCTGTACTTTAGTACACCATAATGTAGACACCCTGTACTGTAGGACACCATATTATTCAGACACCCTGTACTTTAGGATTCCATATTATGTAGACACTCTGTACTTTAGGACACCATATTATGTAGACACCCTGTAATTTAGGACACTATATTATGTAGACACCCTGTACTTTAGGACATTATGTTATGTAGACACCCTGTCCTTTAGGACACCATACTATGTAGACACCCTGTACTTTAAGGACACCATATTATGTAGACACCCTGTACTTTAGGACACCATATTATGTAGACACCCTGTACTTTAGAACACAATTTAATGTAGACACCCTGTAATTTAAAACACCATATTATGTGGACACTCTGTACTTTAGGACACCATACTTTGTAGACACCCTGTAATTTAGGACACCATATTATCTAGACACCCTGTACTTTAGGACACCATATTATGTAGACACCCTGTACTTTAAGGACACCATATTATGTAGACACCCTGTACTTTAGGACACCATACTATGTAGACACCCTGTACTTTAGGACACCATATTATGTAGACACCCCGTACTTTAGGACACCCTATTATGTAGACACCCTGTACTTTAGAACACCATAGTATGTAGACACCCTGTACTTTAAGGAAACCATATTATGTAGACACCCTGTACTTTAGGACACCAATAGTGTAGATAATCTCCGAAAGGAGAAGATGGTTTGAGTTTTTGTTTTGATTCTTTCAAAACAAATTCAATTCTTTCCTCCTGGATGGTTTGAAGCCAAGCTTGACGTAAAAATTATTTTAGATTTTTTTAAAAACACAATCTTGCATTTACTGTAGACTTCATGAACATCTTGTTTAAAATGACTCTATACAATTTTAAAATGTTAAATATGATTTTTGAAAATATGATTTAATCTTAAAATTACGATCTTGACAAACTACGCTGTAACTTTAAGGGACGAGCTCCATATAAAGAGGGGTGTGCTTGGTTCACAGAATCTTTATTTTGTGAATAATGTGGTCGTTTTTACATCTGCTAATTTCTCCATTGTTTCTGGCGCAAGAAATTCTCAAATCATTTTTGAAGAGAAACCACAAGTTAAATAATCACTTTTAAAAATCTAATTCATACTTGTTCAGACAAAGCTTTTCAGGGTACCGTTGTGAATCGTTCATGCAAAAAGATTAATTTTAAGAATTTCTGAGTTAAGCAATAAAACTGTAAAAACTTACATTTGAAGTTATCAAAATAAAACTCTAAACTCTGAACATAAAGCTCATGACGAAAATAAAAATAATTTAAAATTGTCAGAAGAAACTGGTATTTTATTGGCTTTTGTCATGTCTAAATGTCAAAAACTGAACGGGTTGATCCGCGCACGCAAATCTAACACGTTACACTCAACAAAGAAAAAAAATCCATGAAAAACATGAGACAATGCCTTGTGTTCATAAACCTTTTATTAATTCTTTGGAAAATTAGGAATAAAATAAATTAAACTTATTTCCCAAAACTCTCTTGCGCTAAATATCATTGTAAATATCTAAAAAGTTAATTAACCTTTTTGTTTTTGTTTCAGAATGGTTTGAGTTTATGTTCAACGTCTCGCCTGGATTCAATGTGTTCTAGTCAACAACGTCTAAATCTGTGATTTCGCAAATGCGGGAACTATTCAAAATGGCGGGGAAAAATTCCGCGCCAGAAATGAAAAAGTCGTCTTTCTATGTTTGGTTCCTGGGTGCTAAGGAGTCCCGAGGGTTGCGAGGAGAGGAGTTTATATCTCCTGTTGTGAAGCATCTAACATCAAGGGAGAAGGATCAGGAACCGATCAAGGTTACCCTTGAACTCAGTCAGAAAGGGATGAAGATCGTTCAAAATCTTCCCTCAACTCGACCTGCGGATAACTACAGGGTAATCATTATTTATTTTAATCAACAATTTTTTGGGATTGTTTATAGAAAATCTAAGGTCGTCAGGCCTGGTTAGTTTTCAAACCAAGACAATTGAATTTTAGAGCGAGTTCATTGCACTGGTGATAAGTTGTAGCCGTAGGACAGATAATTTCACTAGATTTAGTTCACGTTTAGCTCGCATGCATATGATTATTGACCCCTTTCACTTTTTGTTAAGTTTAATTTCTCAATATTGCCTCTTTTAGTTAAATTTCTCCAGATTGCCTCTTTTAGTTAAATTTCTCCATATTGCCTCGATTTAGTTAAATTTTCCATATTGCCTCTTGTTTGTTAGATTTCTAAATATTGAATCTTTTTTAGTTTAATATCTTAATATTTTCTCTTTATAGTTTCATTTCTCAATGTTGCCTCTTTTTAGTTAAATTTCTCCATATTGCCTCTTCAAGAATTAAATTTCTTGAAATTACCTCTGTAAAGTTTAATTAAATTATTTAATTTAATTATTGCTTTTTTAAAGTTTAATTTCTCAATATGGCCTCTTTTATAAATTTAATTTCACAAAATTTTTAAAATTTAAAATTAAGAAAAGGAAAAAACAATTTGAAAAGAATAGTTTGTTTAAGAATATAAAGATATATCGAAGAATGTAGAAGATATATAAAAGAAGAATATAGAAGATATATAGAAGATATATAAAAGAAGAATATAGAAGATATATAAANCTTCTAGCTCCCTTCCTATAAATTAAGCTCCCATCTTCTAGCTCCCTTCCTATAAATTAAGCTCCCATCTTCTAGCTCCCTTCCTATAAATTAAGCTCCCATCTTCTAGCTCCCTTCCTATAAATTAAGCTCCCATCTTCTAGCTCCCTTCCTATAAATTAAGCTCCCATCTTCTAGCTCCCTTCCTATAAATTAAGCTCCCATCTTCTAGCTCCCTTCCTATAAATTAAGCTCCCATCTTCTAGCTCCCTTCCCATAAATTAAGCTCCCATGTTCTAGCTAGAAAAAAATTATCCCCCATCTTCTAGTTACCCTTTTGTAAATTAAGCTTCCATATCCTAGCTCCCTTCCCACATATTTAGCTCCCATTTTCTAGCTCCCTTCCAATAAATTAAGCTCCCATCTCTTAGTGCCCTTCTCACATATTTAGTTCTCATATTCAAGCTCCCTTCCCATAAATTTAGCTCCCACCTTCTAGCCCTCTTTCCATAAATTAAGCTCCCATCTACTAACTCCCTTCCCATAAATTTATCTACCATCTTCTAGCTCCCATCCCATAAATTAGGGTCCTATCTTCCAAATCCCCACCCAAATATTTAGCTCCCATCTTCTAGCTTCCTTCCCATAAATTTAGTCACATATTCTAGCTCCCTTCCCATATATTTAGCTCCCAGCTTTTAACTCCATTCCCCTAAATAAAGCTCCCATCTTGTTGCTCCCTTTCCATAAATTAGGTTCCTATCTTTTAAATCCCTGTTCGTAAATTTAGCTCCCATCTTCTAGCTTCCTTTCCATAAATTTGGCTCCTATTTTCTAGCTCCCTTCCCATATATTTTGCCCCCAGCCCTTCCCCTAAATTAAGCTCTCATCTTCTTACTCCCTTCTCATAAATTAGGTTCCTATCTTTTAAATCCCTGCCCATAAATTTAACTCCCATCTTCTAGCTCCTCTTTCATAAATTAGGCTCCCATCTTAACTCCATTTGCATAAATTAGGCTCTCATCTTTTAGCTTCCTTCCCAAAAATTAGCTTCTATCTTTTAGCACTCCCCTCTTTCAATTTTGCCAGTTACTTCGTTTAAAGGTAGAAACATATTCTATATAGTTCTAAAAGGTATGTCTAATGCTACGAAAGAGTATAAGTAAGTTAGTAAGGTTAAATAAAAGTTCAAAACGACGTTTAAAGTCCATCTCGTCTTGAAAATTGAATACAACTTTTCAGGGCAGTCTGGATCTTTGTAATTATGTACAGAGGTTTATCTTTTAAAAAGTAATGGTGAGAGCTTCCAACTCTAGAGAACATTTACGTCTAATCTCTGTTCTGTGTTCCAATCTTTTGATTACTCTGAGTTACTCCAATCAGCTGATATACTAATTTACCTACAAGGTGTCCGACGAAACGTGACAGTTAGTGAATGGTTTATAATGTCTTTTTCCATAATTTGATAAGTTGTTTGATACCAAAGAGAATAATAAGAAATATTGTATGGGAGTCATCTTACAGTAAAATTGATTTCAAAGTAAAATGTATTTGAGTAATAGATTTTTAAACAAATTAAACTACAAATAGTTTTTAATATCTAATACAGTATATTGAAGAAGACATTCAAAATATTTACCAACTGTCATGTTTCGTGGGACACCCTGTATAGATTTAAACTGTAGAACTGTAGAACTGTAGAACTGTAGAACTGTAGAACTGTAGAACTGTAGATCTGTAGAACTGTAGAACTGTAGATCAAGGTCACAGATTCACCTTGTTTATTGGAAGGAAAATTCAATGCATTTTAAAACTTTTATTTTTAAAACGTTAAATTGAAATTTTGGTTCGACCCTTAGACCGCATCCTTACATTGAACTTTTGCCCCCTCCTTTCCCCCCATTCTTTTGACCCCTTTCCCCTCCCCCTCCCCTAGTCACAAATTGTTATATAAAATATTTTCCTTGTGCAGTGGAAATTTAAGAAATTCAATATTTGAATCAAACATTGTTTTGGTTTTAAAGCTTTATTAACTAATTTATAAATTCATACGACGGATTTTCTAAAAACAAATTTAATTACTCGTCGTTTATAATCGTTACCATTTCCTATATAAATCTATATAATAAAACAAGACAATCGTAATTCGTATATATGTTCTCTATAGCCGGCCAAACGGCTGGACTGAATGGGCTGACATTTTTTGAGGGTACCCAGGAGTAACAAATGTAGGCTAAACAAAATTTAATTTTTTTTGGAATTCCGCGGACATGAAAAAAAAATCCAGACTTGATCCCAAGATTAACAATACAAAAGTTCAGATCTCTAGTTGAATTGAAAATTCTATTTGTTGTGTGTAAAAAACACAACTTTAACAATTATGAGAACTCCCCCCCCCCGGCCCCTTTCAAACCCCTCTTTCGGGGGGGGGGGGGGGGGCGTTTTAAAGGAGTGACTGGCAATGTATGGTATATAGTTGAACTGAGAATATAGTATTGCAGAGAAATTTTAAGAATTCATTTAAGAAATATAAATTAAAATTATTAAATAATGACGACGAAAAATGTATAACAAATTGTACAGTAAAGTAATTCGATGTTTAGGAACATATATTTCAGATTTCTCAATGGACATTTTTCAATAAATCAATGTTAGAATCAATTATTTCTTTTTCATCATTATATTGATTTTCTTATCTATATAATAAAACAAGACATTCGTAAATATGTTGCGTAAAACCGGCCTAACGGCAGGACCGATTGGGCTGACATTTTTTGTGGACACTCTTGGGTGGCTGGAGGGTGTTGTAGGC